ATTCAAAAAGTGTAAGATGGTTGATTCAATTCTTCTAGCATATTTATTTTCTTCTTTAAAATTAATCTTACTTTTGATTTATGTGATATTTAGTTTGGAATAAGAAGTCAGATAGGCTTTTTCTTTATTTGCAAATGCCTAGGATATTGTTCCAAACTTACTTATTAAATAATCTATTCATTTCCACTAATTAGAAATAGATGAATTTTTTACAGTTACTTGAATCTGGACTTACAGATTTCCTGTTCTATGCCATTGATTATTCTATCATTTCCTGCTGAATCAGATTTTAAAATGACCTGTACAATTAGTCTCTTCTGAATTATTTTCTTCTCAGAATTGTGCAGGCTATTCTTGAATATTTATTTCTCCATGTGATATTATGATTAAAGAATTTGTGCAGAACAGAATGTGGAAGGAAACATATCAGTTACTAAATATGATTATTTCTGGAGTTGAATTAGAGAGTGAAAACTTTTACTTGTTATATTATACATACCTATGTTTCTTAAATTTGGGGACATAAATAAATATTAGTTAACTAATAAAGGTTCAATAAGGATTTAAATAAATAAACATATGGAAATGCTGGAAGCAAAAACCTTAATGAAATCTTTGTGTATTTAAATATTTCCTTGATCACCTCACATTTTCCAAATATACCATAATTTTGTATTTCAATAATGATAATTTGGTTCCTCCTATTCAATACTTTTGTTTTCAATACTTCTTATTTTGTTTTCTTATCTAATTGCATTTCCTAGCATTTCTAGAACAATGTTAAATGTGGTGACAGTAGAATATCTTATCCTTAACTTAATGGAATAATTATAACATTTTACTATTGATTATGACATTGGATTATATTCTATTGTTACTTTATGTGTTAGCTTTTCTTTGATGTGACAAAATACCTGATATAAATGACTTAAGGGAGGAAGGATTTATTTTGGTTCATAGTTTTGGAGATGTCTGTCCATTATTGTGGGGAGAGCATGGCAGAGTAGAGAAGTTCATATTATGCCAGGAAGCAGAGAAAGAGAGTACAGGAATGGCTTAAGGAAAGATACAGCCTTAAGGACATGCCTCCATTGACTTACTTCCTCTAACTAGGCCAGCTCTTCCTTTCACTACCTCCAAATGATGCCAATATATTGTCAATCCATCAAGGGATTAATTAATTGATTAGGTCAGAGCTCTCATGATGTAATTATCTCTGGTAACACAGTCACAAGTGTGCATTACTAATCTCTTAGGTATTTCTTAATCAAGGTGACAGTTAAGATTAATCATCACATTTTACTAAATATTTTATCTTAAAAATAAAGTACTCATCATCATTTAAAACTACTTTGAAATTTCACACTCAGATTCTTAAAAATATTATGTAAAAATGAATTTTATACTATGTTTATCAGTCTCATGCTATAGCATATAATACTGAACTTCTAGTCGTGCTAACTATTCCTCATGTTATGTAAATAATATTTCAGTCCATCAGTGGATAAGCTTAACATTAAAATGTTTTCTGATTATTGCATAGTGTAGTTAACACTTTGCAGGAATAAGTTTTGCATAAAAATCTCCTTTTCAGTCTATAGGTTCTACTGTCCCTCTTGATAAGAAGTTTTTATCTAGAATAGAGGAAAATTGGCTCTGATAATTTACAGTTTAGGAGAATTCCATATTAACTCAAGTGTTTCAGTAAAATTTAGCATTTAAACTGCTTTTCAAACCTCAGGGGCTTTGTCTCTTGTTTTTTCATTTGATTTTTTACCAGTGTCTGAAGGACTGTTAATGTGTTCCTAGGACTCACCAAGTTTTAGACATCACACTTCCTTTGTCTGAACAGTTGTGTTATTTCAAGCTACATACAAATGCCCACGCAAGTACCACAAGCCATCAAAATTCTGAAATTAGAGTGGACATAAATATGGATCTAAAAGAAACTAAATACATGAGCAAACAAAATTCAATGCAGGTATTCATCAGAAAAGAAATGAAGCTTGGAAAGTTCTCATCCCACCCCACCCTACTCTATCATCTCCCCACTTTTGTGGTTACAGTGGTTAAGAGTGCAGCTGGGGAGAGTACTGTGAATGGGGAAAGCAACTGACTCCTTGCACGTGGCTGCCCAGATGTAATACTTCTCGGGGATTTGATGATTGGTTCTATCTGAATAGCTTAGCTTGGCATTCTTCTATTTTGATTGGTGATGTAGAAGCAAGTTGACTAGTACAACATTATTTGCTAATGTGTTCATTCATTTTTTGATTAAGTCATTCCATGTTTGTAACTGAGTGCCCACTAGATTTTATGTATTATGTTTAGCAAGAAATCTAAACTCCAGCAATCATGGTTCTCTGTACCAAAAAACTTAAAATCCCATAAAGGAGTCAGACAATTAAATAATTATAAATCAGTGTGGCAACAATAGGAACAAGCATAAGGAGATATAGGGATGAAGAAATGAGCTATATCCTGGCTAATATGAAGATGAGGATGACTTCACAGAGGGGGTAATGCCTGAGGTGAATCTTGAAGGACTAGTATGAACTAGCTGGGTAGTGGGGAGTGATAAGTGTAAAGGCCAATGACTTAGAAACCAAGGCTGAGAGTGACTATGGCAAGAGGAAAAGAAAGAAAAGAAGGCAGGAACTAGGTAAGGTAGGTTCATGACACCCTAAAGATGCCCATATCTTAATCTCAGCAACATATATATATGGCCAAGGGAATTTTGCAGATGTGATTATGTTAAGGACCTGGAGATGGAGAGATTATCTTTGATTTTCAGAACAGATACATGGTATTGATAAGAGTTCTTATGAGAGGAAGGCAAGAGTGTCACAGTAAGAGAAATCACTGTGATGAGAAAAAAGGTTGGAATGATCTACTTTGAAAAAAGAAGAAAAAGCCATGAGCTAGGAAATAAAGGTGGCTTAAGTAAAAGGAGAAAGCAAGGAATGGATTATTCTCTGGAACCTCTAAAAGTAATGCAGCTTTGCTAACACCTGGATTTTAGCTTCATAGGACTCAATTTAGACATTCGACTGCCTAATGTGTAGGAGTGTAAATTTGTGGTTTTTAAAGTCACTAAGTTTGTAATAATTTGTAACAGCAGCCAAAGAAATGAAGACACTAGATCATTGAGACCCTTCTCTTCCATGCTGGGAAACCACTGAAGGATTTTAGCTAAGGGAGTGACTTGGTCAGATTTTCAGTGAAGTGGAAGACAGGTTACATGAGAACCAGGCTAAGGCAGAGGTGAGTTCTCTATCAATTTGGAGGATGCTACAATGAAGTCCAAGGTGAACCTAAGGCAAGATAAAGCAGGTCTTCATGCCAATGTCTTCTTCTAGTCAGAAAAGCTCCTCCTTCTCTTTCTTATTTTTATCTTCTGGTATTTACTAGATACCCATTTTATTCTAAGAATAAAATAGATGGCAGAACTTTTCTTGAAGTTGCATTTTAGAATTGGAGAAAAACAAGAACAATAACCAACAAAAATAAACAAGGTAATTGGTATCATAAGAGGGGGTTTGGAGGAAATAAACAGGGAGTTATGATAGAGAATAACAGGAAGAGGGCTATGACTTTGATAACCTCTTCTGTGAGGAGATCACATAGAAGCTAGGACATGGAGAATAAGAAGGAGACAGACACAAAAAGATCCAGATAATTATTTTGGACAGAGAAAACATAAAGTGCAAAGGCCTTCTGTTTGGGAATTCTTTTTTTTTATTCATATGTGCATACAATGTTTGGGTCATTCCTCTCTGGGAATTCTTAATATTTAAGAATAAGACTGATTTTTATGTAGGTACAATTGAGAATCATTACTTTGGATAATACCCTTTTTGTTAGTGAAATGAAAATGTTGGAACTTGATATAAAGCTAATTTTTTGTTAATTATGTACTAAATCACATACTATCTATGCTCTGTGTTTATTTTCCATGCTGCTAGAAGTTCAGTATTTGAACTAAGAAGTATATCTCATGTATCACCATAAACTTGATAGCTACTACTAAAATTTCAGGTATATGCTCAAATTGCATATGATTGGAATCATCATTTTAAAAGTGGTTCTCAAGCCTGGTAGTTGAGCATTTAATTGCCTGGAGGAGTTTTTAAATCATTATGAATACCAATATCTACACCAGGTCAATTAAATCAGACTCTTAGAGAGATGGGGACAGGAGATCCCAGCATAAATAAGGCAGGAACCATGAAGGGGATCAGAGAAGGAAAACTGGCCAAAAATACAGTGGGGACTATTTGACACTCTCCCCCTCAAAGAAACACATCCACACACATACTTAACTCTCACGTACATGTCTAAATAGTGTTTGATGCTAGGTATGCAGAATGTACTGATGGTCAATGAGTGTTAGCCAGAGAAGAAATGACCATCAGTTAGATCTAAATGAAAACACATTGTTTTCCCCATACTTCTAGTCCCTATCCATGGAGGATCTGGAGTTACATCAGCAAAGAAGGAGGAGAAGGAGTAGGGGGAGAAAGAGGACTTGAAGGAACTTCTGACTCAGTGATAATAGAAATAAAGCTGAGGCAAACAGTGTGGACATACAGGCAAAGGCTTTAATTGAGGAGGAAAAGGGGGTTTAGGTTGAGAAGAGAACAGAGAGGAATAAGTTTTTTATTGGGTTTCTGGAGTGGGCCTAGGCTCTAGTGATTTTCCACTAATCATGAGTACATTTTAAAACAAATTTCTTTCTTGTTGTACTCATGTAAGATACTTATCGGTAGCCAGTTCATCCTTGGAAATGTTACGGTGCCACCCTGCTTGCATTGGTGTACCCAGATGATTTTGTCCCTGCAATTACAGAAGGGGAAGGACACATTCCATACATTGCATTGTTGGAAAGGAAGAATAGGGGAAAGATATATTTTTTAATTTTAATGAGTAACAGTTATGGATTCAGGCCAGAGAGTTTATTCACCTCTTGTCACTGTGGTGGACCATGACCATTCTGTTCTTCAGTAGCAGAGGAAGGGGAAGGAAGAGGGAAAAGAAAGGGAAAAGGGATATTTAAGCTTCTGGAAGGAAATCTTCAAAGTATTTGCACTAAGTTAATAAGGTTTCAAGGGTTAATGTATGGACCTGGACCTTCTCAGAAATTCATGGGTGTTCCTGAGTGGCCCAGGCTAGCACCCAAATATTTCCATGCTCCAAGAGTCAGAGAGGACTAGAATATAAAAAAGGCTTCATGGATAACACATGGAGACCCATTTAAGGAAAAGACCATGGATCATGCAAGTCAGAGGGAACATGTTGAGACTTCAATTTATGAGGAATAGATGGAGTGAAAGAGGCAATATCTAAAACACAATGTAGGAACTGAGACCTCAGAGGAGTCCAGAATGGCACATGGCCCTGTCCCTCCCCAAATGCCATGTGAATTTGCTTTCTAGGACTGCAGTAACAAAGTTCCACAGGCCAAGTGACTTTACCAAGCAGAATTTAATACCCCACAGTTCTAGAGACTGGAGGTTTGAGATCAAGATGCTGGGCAGGCATCTTGATATGAGAGATATGAGGGAGAATCTGTTTCATGCCTCTTTCTTAGCTATTGGTGATTTCCTGACAGTCTTGGGCATTCTTTGTCTTGTAGAAACATCACCTAGGATCTCTGTTCTCCCTGTGTGCACGGCTATATAAGGACACCAGCCATATTGGATTAAGACTCATCTTAACAAACTCATTTTTAATTTTTCTACTTCTGGATATTATACTGGGGACAAAGCCTTCAATGCATGTGTTTCTGGATCATATATCATATCCAAACTGTAGCATATCCATAGAAAGTTCATATATTTAAGTCATAATATCCAATAACTCAGAATGTGAACTTATTTGGAGATAGGTTTTTAACAAAGATAGTCAAATTAAAATGAATTTGTTAAGATGGGCCCTAATCCAGTAAGATTAATATCCTTATAAAAAAGGAAAGTTTGGGGTTAGACATGCAAATAGGTAGAACAAGATATTCCTATTGCTTAAAGCTAAGAATCCTGAGTGATATTTTAACATAAGGCAATGGTATAACACTGTAGTGTTCCTATGTATCTTATATATCATTTGCCCCATGTAACTGTGACCTGGGAGAACGCTATTTCATCTTTCTAATCCTAGTGCCTAGCAGAGTATAAAGTAGCACAGAGTGGCTCCTCAATAAGTGACTATTAATTATTAATTACTTAGTTTCTGAAAAAAAGATTTCTCTGGAAACCCAAACCCATAAAATGACAGCAAATGACCCCAGAGTGTTTCTAGTGGCTGAGAACATGGGGTCCACTCTGGATATCCTGCTATCTGTCACAAAAGACAGTACAGCCATGAAAAGTCCCTTAGCATTTAATTAAATATGAGATGGTAATACACATCACATACTTATATCTGTAGCAGCTATGCAAAATGTTAGTAATGCATGTGAAATGTACAGTCAAATCCGAGACCTTCACTGTAGTGAATGCTGGGTATTTTTTAAGAATCCCAAAGTAAAATGCTGATTGAAAAAAAATGCCTTCTGAGTTGTATCATTTCCAGGTGCTCTACTTATATTATATTCTTCTTATTTTTATATTCTTGGCCAGTTCCAAACCTTGTAGCACCATCAGAAGACCTAAGAAAACACAATTTGTTCATCTGAAATAGCCTATAGTTGGCTTTGATGCAGCAAATTCCTAAGTGGAACCACATTGAGGAGAAGCACAAAGGCTTATAGAAAACAAATTGAATAACTGTGGGTCCCTTGTACGCAGGCATAGTTTTTTTTTTTTGGACTATATTGGTTGCCTGTTTCTCAGCTCTCTTTTCATTTCACATTATATGGAACTGGCAGTTGACATTCCTGCTTTACACATTGTCTTCAACCAGGAGTTTTTCTTTTTTTTTTATGAAGTCTAAGAGAGGATTGGGCTGAACCAGTGTGCAATCTTACATCATATGTTGTCCCTGAGTATATAGTCAAGCATTAGCAGCAGTTATGATTATATGAATATAATATAAGGATTTAAGATGCTTCCAATAAAATACAGACACACACCAAATTCAAATAATAACAAGTGCTAAACAACACTGAACAGAGAGGATTTTAGAGCTGGAGAAGGATCTCAATAGTACCCTAGAGTTATCTCCTCCTTTCTTCAGGATAGTATTTATATATATGAGGGATACAAGATTGCTTCTTTTTTTCTTGGGTCACTTGAAATCTCAGTGCCAAATCGACATGATAGAAGCAGAATGTTTCTGCCTTGTGTTAAATGCCAGTGAACCAAGAGGTCAAGGTGATGTCTCAGAATCCTGTAGTGGGGTTGAATTAATTTTTGTCTTCTTTGTGTGGCTAGGGAGAGAAAGAACTCTAGACTTCTCCTCTCAGTAACCATTGTTGATTGTAATAGGTATGTATGTTTTTGGGTTTCTTACAATTCACTGGTTTTGGTAAAAACTGGACATAGTGACATATGCTTCTTCTTGACTTGGTCCAAGGGAAGTGAGAATGGGCTGCCCCTGAGCAACTGGGTTCAGTGTCAGAACCCCTGATGGGAGAGGAAATGGTGGGAGCAAGGTGCTGTTTGTAGTTCTAGTGCTAAGCAGCATACCCTCGTATGCACAGGGCCCATTCTTGTCTTCCTCCCTGTAGTCTGGGGACATAGAGGAGGGGAGTATAGGAGTCTCACACGCACTGACATTTCCAGCCAGGCATCTGAGAGGTAACTCTCCTTGGAATGTTTCTGGTGTGATGAGGACACTCTCAGATGGCCAGTTGGGGCCACAAATATTGCCTCCAAGCCTCTGATTCTCAGTTTCCTCTAGTTGTGAAGGGAAAGCATCTTGCAGAAAGCTTTCAATTTCATCTTGAGCTTGAATGCCATCCACCTCATTAATCTGGCAGTCCAGAAAACTTTCAGGATTGAAACTTACATTCAAATTCTGCACAGAAAAAGAGAGAGGCATTAAGATGACTTCCAGACAGAGGTCCAACCAAATGTTCATATTAGAAAATAAAGTCTAAGAATCTTTCTGATGGGTTTACCAGGGAATGTTAAAGAATTACCCTCTTGTTTTTTAGTAGACTATTTGCTTTTGGATGTGCTGTGATACTGCAGGGTTTGAAGTGACCACTGATGGGCCCTCCAGCCCAGGAAGCCTACAAGTTCTAAGACTCACATCCTATTTAAGTTCTCTTCCTCAAGTAAGCCTCATCTATGATATTACAAGGAACCAAAGGTTGATGTTCAGCAGCTCCTAGTTTTTTTTTTTCTGTCTTTTATTTTGTCATTTTTACATTTACTTACATTTGTATACATTGTTTAGGCCACCTCCCCATTCATCCTCCCCCCAGCCTTGCTTTCTGGCAGAACCTGTTCTGCCCTCTTCTCCAATTTTGTTGAGGAGAAAACACAGGAGATAATAAGAAAGACACAATGCTTTTGCAAGTTTGAGATAAAGATACCTATACAGAGAGATTTCTAGTTTTGCTTCTATGTACTTGTATATTGCAACCCACATTGGTTCATCTCTGCCAGACCTCTTCACTACTTCCTGGTCTCCTTCCCATAGTGGCCTCTGCAGTTTAAGTTTACTTTATTCGCACCTCTACAGTGAGCACATCAACCACATTCAAGTTTTAGGTTTCCTTCCCTTTCTTTATTCCTCCTGTGCGTGTTCTCCCCTTAGTGTGTGACCCATGTCCAATAATCTTACTGCATCTGTTTTAGGTCTAAAGTCACATATGAGGGAGAACATACGATTTTTGGCCTTCTGAGCCTGGCTAACTTTGCTTAAGATGATGTTCTCCATTTCCATCCATCTACTTGCAAATGACAAAATTTCATTCTTCTTTGTGGCTGAGTAAAATTCCATTGTGTATAAATACCACATTTTCTTCATCCATTCATTGGTAATGGGGCATCTTGTCTGTTTCCATAGCTTGGCTATTGTAAATAGTGCTGCAATAAACATGGGTGTGCAGGTGCCTTTATAGTAACTTGAGTCACATTCCTTTGGTTATATCCCTAGAAGTGGCATCAGCTGCTCCTAGTTTTGGAGCACCATTCTTGGCTGCTGGGATGCCATAAATATAGTGCTACTTAAACTACAGAAGAACTTACCTTTTTGGGTTTCTTACACAGTTGTTCCAGAGTCTTTTTATGATCAGGAAGACTGGGCCATACAATAGGCTTAATCCTGAAATCAGAGGACACTGATAGGCGAAATGAATGGCAGAAGGAATAAGCACAATAATAGATTTATCTACTTATTCTGAGCAAGGAATTAGAAGAACATTGTCCTGGTCTTCGCTTTGCCACACTAGATGGGTGAGTTGGACAAGTGACTTGCTTTCTTTGGGTCCCAGTGCCCTATATGTCCAAGGAGGAGTTGAATCTAAGCTCATTATTATTGCTCTACTCTGTGAACAAGGCAGGACAATGACACATCTGAGGGCAAGAGCCCTAGAGGGAGGAACAATGAGGTTTGCAATGACATCATTTTGGTATGGCTGTGGAATTAAGATTTGACCTGGTCATTTATGCCCCTTCTCATGATTGGCAGTAACTTCTTTGATCTTATTTTGATGGAAGTAGTGAATATGATCTAAGTTACTCATGGTAATTGCTTTAAGGCAGTATTTTTCAAATTGGAGTATTTGCAGTCTTAGGGATATGTGACTCTTTGCAGAGGGCATCTTCCTAGAATATTAAGAAACTTAGCTGGTACATAATTTAAAAAATCATTTTATGATGAAACAAGCAAGACTCTATCATAGAATAGAATACAAAAAAAATCCCATGAATTTTTGTGCTGAAAGTCAAGATATTAAGTACATTTTGCATTGCTGTGTATAATTTCTTCTGTGTCCTTTACGAGACTTTGGAAGAAAAGTTTGGGAAACACTACATAAAGAATTCCTATTTTGGAAGAGGAGTTGCCTTACACATTTTTGCCTTTTTTAAATCAACCATGGAAATCCACTGGAACCTGAGAATGGGAAGGGATACTGGACAGTATAGTTTCTGAACTGCTAATTCCCCTTTGGATTTTCTCATCAAAAAGTGGGGCTCAAGCACTTCCTGCCTGGGATGCCACATGATTAGTTAAAAAAATAGTCACCTTTTTTCCCATAACACGAAGGCTAAGATGACCAACAGAACCATAGAGAAAAAACTCAGAATGCTGATAGTTAGTAAAACAGGATCCATCTCTCCTGGAATACAAGGATATATCATGGTTAGCATCAGTAAACATGCAGTAGTGTAGACTTTCATGGTGTTTTGAGTTTATTTAGGAACATGGCTTCATTTGTTATTTCTTGAAGGTTGTTCTTTGGTAAATAGTAAGATGTGCCTGGTTTAAGTGGCACTGACTTGTGTGAGCAGGGCAAGAAATTGACCACTTGAAATGTAAAAGTGCTCCATCACCATGGAACCACTATTCCCTTCCCAATTTCCACCACCAAGGAAAAGAAGCCAAAGCGGGGCATGAAGACATAAGCATTTACCCTCCAGTTGCAACAAATTCCAGGGTGAGGATGGGAAATTGGTAGAGAAGAACAGTCTCTCCAACCCCCCAAGGGAAGTTCTGTGTGGGGTGCTTAGGTAACTTTCTTAGCCATGTCCTTTGGCTCTTCTGGACATTATTAATTCCTAAACCCCAAGGACATCTTTATGATCCTGGAAAAAAGAGACATGTGACAGCCACACTGGCCTGTCCACCTGCCATCAAAATAATTGTTCCCTTGAGGGGTCTTAGCAAGGCCAGCCATTGGGATCCCAGACTAAATCATAAACGGGAGGTAGTGGGTGGAGATTTTCTTCAGAATCATTAATGCTTCCCAGGAACATTTAAGGCAGTACCATCAAGACAACTTGTAGCAGTTATCAGCTACTATGGACACTGCTCCCACTGCTCTCTTATTCTTCATAAAAGGACAAAGATGGCAGGCAAGCCACTCTCTAAACAAAGTGGAAGAAGGCTTTCCATGGAATCTGAACCTTCAGGTCGATCTCCTCACTTTCGCACACTCTGACACAGAAAGCATTGTAGGGGAGATGAGGACTCTATAGCTACTGCTCACCCAGACTCTTGGTCTCTGGAGTTCTAAAATGGGAACTTGGACTCCATTCACTCCAGAAGCCATCAAAATAGTTGTTTTCAGGGATGGATCGCACTTTAATCTCATACATTGCATCAGGTTGTAGTTTCCTCTGCAACAGTGTCATTGTTGTGCTAGTTGAATTCATATGCTAAAGAGTAAAAAGTATGTTACTTTTTTAGGATGGAAAATGCCATGCTGTCTAACTCTCTCAAATCTTAGTCATGTAAGTACCCTTTTGAGGTTCTCTAATATTTGTTAGACTAAGGAGCTTATCTATGTGGAGGAGTCAGCAGCAAAAGTAGAGACAGAGTCTATGAGCTCATAAATCTTATTCAGGTGAATGAGGCTCTCCTCACTTTGGGAAAATATAAATCACTTCCAAGTTCCCACCTTCCTTTCCCACTTCTATATCTTCTTTTCTTTTCTTTTCCATTTCTCATATCAAGAGGAGACAAAGAGTAAGCCAATGAGTAGGAATCATTTCCCTCCAGAAATAAACCATTTTACACCATTAATAGTAATATAAAGGTAATAGTCTCCCTAACTCTGTGTTGAAAAAAGAAAGAAAATATTCTATCATTTTGACAGCTAAAAGTAATATTTTATTGTTATTTACATTTATTTTCTTAATTTTTTATATTAACTGAATAAATATATATTTCTTATTTATGAAAATTTTGTAGACTTTTTGCTCATTTTTATACTGTGATATTTACTTCCTTCTTCTCTCCCTCCCTCTCTTCCTCCCTCCCTTCTTTCTGGCAGTATTAAGATTTGAACTCAGGGCTTAGCACTTGCTAGGCAGGTGCTCTACCACTTGAGAAATGCCCCAGCCCTTTTTGTTACAGTTATTTTTCAGGTGGGTTCTTGCATTTTTTCTGGAGCTGGCCTCAGATTGTAATCCTCCTACCTATGCCGCCCATATAGCTAGTATCACATGCATATTGATTGAGATGGGGTTTCACCGTCTTTTTGCCTGACTGGCTTTGAACCACCATGGTCACAGTCTGTCTCCTGAGTTGCTGGGATGACAGGTATGAGAAACCACACTTGGTCATGTGATATTTGCCTCTTTATTAATTATTTATAAGCTCTCTTTATATAGATATGCTGTCATTTAGCTATACATGTGCAATTTAATCTTAATTTTCAATTTGACTTAAAAATTTGGTTATGTGGGTTGACACAGATAAGCCTAAGGTAGAGACTAGACATTTAACTTCAATTTTTCCTGGACCTTCAGGACCTTCAGTAATCTGATTGTTTCAGAACAAATTATTTAAAACCCTTCTTTTCTGAATTAGAGTTGCTGTACATTGGTGCAATTTTCAGATGAATAACAGAAGAGAGTAGAATAAAAATCATATAGTTTGGATGCATGTGGGGAGAAAAGTAGAGTAAACCAACTTATCAGGTTTTTCCTACCTTGTTAATTGAACTTCTGTCTTTTCTGTACCACATGGACACAAAATGGATGGTTTCTCTTTCTCAGTAAAAAAAGAATGCTTCTTTATGCCTACTACTTGCTTTACTCAGGCCAGGATAACCCTTATTTGTTTTCAGTATGCTACTTATAGAAATGTACTACCTGTTCCAAACCACCTGTTCCAAACCACCTGTTCCACCTTCTACCCAAAAAAGATTGCAGGGACAGCCAGATCATTCCAGCCTCAGTAAGTCATGAAGAGAGAGATTACATAACCAACCAGATGATGTAGAGTGAATATTATGTTGTTACTTCAATGACTAAGTCCTCAGGCATTGAAAAAAAAAAAAAGCACAGAAAATCTTCTGCTTTTTCCCCTTACCTCATTCTGCTGCTACAAATTCTATAAATTGAATTGTGGCTATGTCTTGGTGATGCTACTCAGAGATATTTTTTTTCACATTTGTCCATGGATGTGGTTCTAGACAGGACAATTTTTGAGGCTTTGAATAATAAGAATCAGTTTGGTCTCCATTTGTATTGTTGTCTAACTAAGTTTAGAAACATTATAAAGACAAAAAATGGAACAAGGAATAAAATCCAAATTTAGATCAGGATGGGCCAGGAAAGATGCAGGTTTTGTGGGGTCTGAAGCTGACACTATATCTGGAGTTTCACTGGATAAAGGGTAAGTTTTGAAAACAAAATCATTAGTTAAACATTCTCAAGCTAGATGCACTTCTGGGATAATAAAATGTATATCATTAAGAAGTTTTTATTTTGTTAACATGGTTAATAAAATCTACATTACCATCCAGTTATTTCCATCTTTTTCCAGGTGGTAGGCTAAATCGTGCATTAATTGTTTTACATACTTCTTTTTCAAGTGTGATGTATTAAATGTCACCACAAAGTCATTTGCTTCCTCACGATACATGACTTCTACATCAAAAGGAGCCTCAGGTTTCACTGGGGAAAAAAAAGGAAATGAAGTCAGTCTATAAAGTCATCAAGGAAATTATTATAATTTTTAAAATCCATCTACTCTGAAAATCATTCTGACCCTTTCTATGTCAGCAACTGAATAATTATTCAGAAGGTGATTTCTTCTTTTTTGGGGGGGTTCACATCCAAGCCATATTTCCCAGACTTCCTTTCCTCTTTGTGATAGATGCTAGTGCTAATTTTATACTAAAATACATTCTCTTTGCCTTTGGCATACTAGAGAACCTGCTCCAATGCAGGAGTATTTCAACTTTGACTTTTCATTCCTCTAATAAAACAGAGTAATAGCTAAAGACCTCGGCAGCTCATCTCTGCTACACAGAAGTGAAGATATGCATCCTGATCTGGCTCATAACTTTTTGAGTGGCTTCAGACTATCTCCTCAGAAAGTCTCAATTATCTTAATACTTAACTCTTCATGGTCCTTCTGTCTACCTGCCACAAAAAATTGTCCTTAAGATCAGATGTGCCACATAAGATATGTTGTTAGAGGGAGATAGAAATTATTTCAGGCAGAACAATCCCAGAGAAAGATATTGGTTTCTTAGGAAACAGTCTGCATCAGGCTGCCTCTACACTTTGGACCTGAAACTTCTTGGCCTGATCTTGGCAACTTTTATAGCAGTTTGAGAAGTTTGTTGTCTAGGGATGAGGTGCTCTTTTTTTATATACCTGACCTCAAACCCTATTAATAAAAGTAGTGTGTGTGTTCATTGATTTCCACTCTGATGTTTTATTGACTTTCTTTTACACTGATCTGGATTCATGAGTATCTGGGCTGAGGTTTAGACTGATCTATTGGCACAATCAAATGAGACCCTCCTGAGTTTGGCTCAGGTATTATATTTACTTGTTCATTGTGGTGACTGCCTACCTTTCTCCTATATTGTCCTAGAAGGAATGGTGGTTCCTTCTTTATCCTTGGCTGTTTATTGTGAAAGGGCAGAATTTTAAAGTTTTTATTTTACCTTTCCCTGCACTATAAAAAAAGAAGATTCCCCACAGGAAAGCAGGAGGGAAATGGTAGATGTATATAACCCACCCAAGAGCCCCAGAGACCTTCTTACACCTGCCTTTCATTCATATTCTCAACAGAAGCTTCCAAGACTAATAAGCTGCTAATTTTCTGAGCTCCTGCCTATTCCTATCTCCCATGGGTTCTCAATAAGAGGGGAATTGGAAAGGACCAGATCAAATATTGCATACCAACTAAGTTCTGAATGCTTAGCATACAATGAACAATGGTCATTTACTACCACTACACTGAAGAGGAAACTGAGTCTCAGAGAGGTTAATTAACTTAAGTTTCAGCTCACATAAAATGGTTTTTCAGGATTTGAGTCTAATTCTGTCTACTTCTGATGCTTGCTCTTTTTCATTTAGCTTTGATTTTTTGCTTTGTAATCTTCCATTAGCTTGTCCAGAGCTCTCCAGACAGCTCTTTTTCTAGTGCAAATGTATCAGCAAATTGGGAAAAGTTGTTTATTCCTTAAGCAATCTTTTAAAAAATAATATAGTCTAATGTAATCTAAAGAATCGTATCTGTCTACCATGTTAAGCAAAATGGGAAGACAGGAATATGCGTCTCCAGCCTTATTGGGCAGAGGGCAGCTAATGTAAAAGAAGAACGTGAGTAAACGGTTGAAGGTAAGCTGTAGCTCTTGGGTTCAATCAGGATCATTCAGTTTAAACTCAATTAAGTGGTAATTCCATGACTGAAATGTCACATTAGAAGCTAGCAGAAGATGCTGCAGATTCATCTCTACTATTTCTCATCCTGCTTTCCCAGGAGTGCTTTCCAATGCCATCCCTTCCAGAGCGACCCGTGCTACCAGCAGAATATGTACTCTGCCTCTCTTGTTTATATATGATGAAGAAAATCTGCTTGCATTTCTTGTCCTGCAGAGTTTGGATTCAACATCACAACATCCTGAACTTTCTAACATTTACTCTTAACCTGAATTTCTAGCCTTGAGGCTTACCCTACAGATACCAAACTTGACAGTTTCCATGATCACATGAGCCAGCTCAGTTTCTCTCTTTCTCTTTTATATATATATATATATACATATATATATGAAAGATATCTATCTATCTATATATATGAAAGATATATATATCTATATATATTTGAAAGATATATATATCTATATCTCCCACTTGTTATTTTTCCTTTCTGTGGGAAACTCTAATACAGAAAGCATAGTTACATTTTAAAAATAGCTTGATAATGTAGCTGAATACACTCAGAATATGCCATGAATATGTAGGGAAGACTATAGAGAATTCAGGATAAGGCAAGATGAATAAGGGAAGAACATATGTGAATAGATAACATTTAAGGAAGGCTCATCTCTGTTTAGATACCTTATATTGATTTGCCTTCTCTCAATCTGTAGCTGTCAATTTGAACTTTCATAGCTCAGTTTGAAGAGTCTCAGAGTTCTTTCACAGTAGGAATTAGTAATATAAAAGTCAAATTTTTCATGTATTAAATATTGAACTAGAGAATTTACTATTGTTTATTGGAAGTTATTTCCATGGTTTGCCTACTTTTAACATCCAGATATGCAGATATGCAAAACATGACAACCATATGCTCTTAACAACTTCTTACCTATCTTGGCTATGTTCACTGTTTTGCAAGTTATATTCTTTTTTCCAAGCTTCACACATATGTTACTGTCACCAACCAGTAAGAATTTCCTTGTCTTGATGAAATACATCTCTTGCCGTTTATTAAAATTCATGCAATTTATGTCCATAAGAGCCCCACTGTAGAAACAAAAGGCAGTCTGTCTTGATTCAGGTAGGAGTTTCTGAATACAATGGAATAACTCTATATGCACATTTCAGTTGCATGACTTCAACTTCAGTGTTCTTATGTATGTGGGTGGGCACATGAATGTTTAAGAAAGATAATGAGGAAAATAATGTGGCTGGCTATGGCTTATAATCAGTGATGATTTACTCCAGCATTAGATGCAAAAGAACCTGAAATAGTCAAAGTGTGCTCATGAAAATTAGGGAGAAATCCTGGATTTTTATACGTGATCACTGAAAAACAAAGACTTCATTTAAATACTTCATCTACACAGGAAAGCAATCATTATTTTGATGTTACATAGGAATAAGTAGAAGAAGAAATAGTGATACTGTCTCCCCCATAAGTGGATTAAGGGAAATCCTAAAATAATCTAAAGGATTATATACATTGAGTAATTTAAGGGATTTTCTTAGGCACTTTTGGCCTGTGAACCCTAACAAGACTGATCAAGAAAAGAAATCAAGATATAATTAGCAACATCTGGAATGAACGGGCCATATCACTATAGATCAGATCATGCAGATATGAAAAGACTAATAAGGAAATTTAAAAATTTATGCTACTGTATGGGATAACTTTGATGCAGTAGAAAAATCTTATAAATACAAGTTGGTGAGACATAGCCACATATAACTGAATATCTCAATAATTGTATTTTCTTTAAAGAAATTACATTTATTACCAATAAATACTCCACAAATAAAGCTCTATAGTTAATGGTTATAGGTTGGTGAATTCTATTAAATGTATAAGAAAAAGTTCTGTCTATCTTACAAAAATTCTTCCAGGAAATAAAGGTGAAATAGAGTCTTCCTAACTTATTTTATAAAGTTAGCTTAACCCTGGTGTCCAAAACTGGTAAAATATTATAGAAAAATGGCCTATAGACAAGTATCCCTCAAACATGTATATTCACATTTCCTCAAAAAAATTGAGGAGCATTGATAATAATACATTAGGAAAAAGTAGGGTGAGTCCCAGGGAACCAAAGTAGGTATAATAGTCAAAGATCAATTAATAAAACTTACCAAATTAACAGAATAAAAGATGTAAATGTTCAGTTCATCTTTAATTGATACAGAATTTACTTTTGATAAAACCCAGCATCCATTTATGATTTAAAAAAATCTCTCAACTGACAAGGAACAGGATTCCTCGATTTAATAAAGGCCATTTACAAAAAGATAGTTAATATCATATCTGATGGTGAAGTTGTGAGCATTAATTATTACCTGAAGATCAGAACAAGAGAGAGATCTCCACTTTTTACATTTCTATTCAGCAATATATTGAAGGTTCTAGCTAGTTCATAAAACAAGAGAAACAAACAAAAGGTATTCAGATTAGAAAGGAAGAAATCTGTTCCTTTATTTGAAGAAAATAGATTTGTTCATAGGGAGAATTATAAAGAATCTCCAATACAATTATATGAACAAATAAAGCAAATTCATCAGGGCCATTAGACAAAAGTCAGTTATATTTCTATAGGATAGCATCAAACAATAGGAAAATGAAGTTTAAAATGACAGTTCCATTTATGTTAGCAATGAAAGCACAGAATACTCAAAAATAAAATTTATAAAAAATGTTCAATGCCATTGAACTAGAAATTATAAAACATTGCTGAGAGATATTAAAAGAAATCTAAATAATTGGAAAGCTCTGTTTGTTGATTAACACATTCAATATTGATAAAATAGAATCTTTCCTAATTGAGCTCTATAATATTAATCAAAATTATAGAATGATTTCTTAAACAATAAGTTGATTCAAAATTTATGTGGAAATATAAGGAATTCATAATACCCAAAACAACACAGAAAAGTATAGAACAAATATGGAAGACTCAGAGCATTTGAGCTCTTTTTTCATCTCTGCTAAAACTTCTTCCAGGACTCTGGGTTTATCTTGGCTGCTTGCTTTCCATTCTTGAGAGTCTTGGCTTAGATATGATCTTTTCAGCATTCTTACCTAAACCCCTTTTTAGTTTACCTCATCATGCTTATCATATTTTTTAAATATATTTTTATATGTATTATCTTTTTTATTTTTTCTTGTCTTTCCCAAGAATTTTTTTTCTTTTTTTTTTGACAGTGTCTTGCTATGTAGTACAAGCTGGTCCTGTATTCATGGTCTTCCTGCCCCAGCCTCCAGAGTGCTAGAATTAGAGATTTGTACTACCACACCCAGCTTTCCCCAGGAAATTTTAAACTGCATAATTTGTAGGATGATTGAATGAATAAATACAAAAGAAAAAGAGTAACCTGACTGGTGGGCAAGAAATTGGCTGAGCAGATGTTCAGAGGCATAATAGGTGACGGTGGTTTGTGGAAAGCAAGGATTCTACCATGACTAGAATGAGAACTGTAGGTGGCACAGACAGAGCCACATGGAGATGAGTGGGCAAAGACACAGACAGGGAGTTTCAGGACAGTATCATGTTTTGAAATATGGTAGCAAAATCATAATTTCTGGTTTATAAAAAAGTAACTGTTAGTTTAGAAGAGTAGAAGATAGGTGAAAAAATAGTCCACAGCAGAGTCATTACAAAGATGCTGCAATAATTCAGGGGATCCAAATGAGTGGAACTCAGGGAGTTTCAGAAGAAAAGAAAATAAATGGAAGTCAGGATGGTTCTTTGGATGTAGATTTGAATGCACATAAAAATTTAAAGTCTCATGCAAGCAGGAGGAAGAACAAGTCAGAGTTGAATTTGAGATACTTCCTAAGGTCTAGATGCCTGTTATTATCCAAGAGCAAAAAAAGGGTATTAGGCATAATGAGTTCAGGTATGGTATTGTTGAATTTGATGATGTTTAATTAATAATTTGTGTTTAGTTCTTGGGAGACAAATATATGAGGCTTTTTTTTTTCATAGCCAATTGATTTTTTAGTAAGGAACAAAGGCAATACAATGGACCAACCATTGTAATATATGAGTCTTGAGTAAGGAAGTAAATGTTGACACAAGAGAGTGAAAGGAGAAAGTTGAGAATAAAATGTGCTGGGTGCCTGGGTGCTGGTGGCTCATGCCTGAATCCTAGCTACTCAGGAGGCAGAGATGAAGAGGACCACGGTTCGAAGCCAGCCCGGGCAAATAGTTCTTGAAAAACTATCTTGAAAAACCCTTCACAAAAATGTGGCTTGTGGAGTGGCTCAAGATAAAGGCCCTGAGTTCAAGCCCCTTAATGAAGAAGTCTGGTAGAAATTAATCAATTTGGGTTACAATACACATGTGCATGGAAACAACACAAAGATTGTCCCTGCATAGCTATCCTTATGTCAAACTAGCAAAAACGCTATGTTTTCCTTATTATCTTTTATGCTTTTTCTTCAACAAGAGGGTGGACCAGGTTCTGCCTGGAGGCAGGATTAAGGGTGGAGGTAAACCAAATAATGTATACACATGTAAGTACATGTAAAAGTAAATGACAAAATAAAATTTAAATGAATAAATTACAAAAAATTTGGTAGAAATCTATTGTAGTCAGAACAATGTACTACTGGCATGAAGATAGATAAATTGATCAATACGAAGAATAGTGATTTCAGAAAGAGACTCATACATGCAAGTATAGTTTGTATTAACTGACAGCAACCTAATTAATTCAATGGAGAATAGAAAGTTTTTTTTAGCAAATGCCCTGAAATAGTTGACTAAATGTATGGAAAATATGAACTTTTCTACAACTATAAAATATTTAGAGGAAAACATTTTTTAAATGTAGTAAGGAGCCTAAGCCTATAAAACATTTCTGCTACTTTAGGGTTTTAAGAAGGATTTACAATGGTATGCTCAGCTCATTCCCATGTCTCACAGATGAGATCAATGATCAATGGACCATAAAGGATCGCCATAAAGCTATATTGCGAGTCTGGCCACCTGTTTTAGGGGCTCAAAACTCCAGGAGCTGCCCCCAAATGGAGGGAAAGCTGAGCTGAGAAACTAAGATACAATCAGCAGACTAGAACAAGGATCCTTGTTTTGTACCACTGACCCTCACTTCAGGCAGATGGAGGAAAACAGTATTAATCCCTGTGCACCGTCCTACTCAATTCATTCCAATTCAACTTTACCAATTTACTTGGTTACAAACTATGAATAGCCTGAGTCAGCAATGTTCTAAGGCTCCACTCTCCAGAACAATAGTCATGATCTCATATGTGGTTATTGAACTCCTGGACTTGGTTGGTCCAACTTACAATGTGATCTAAGTATAAAATATGCTGTACATTTTGAATGCTTAATATAAAAATGGATGAAAAAAATCTCATTTATGGGATTTTGTTCATTTTGATTATGTATTGAAATACTATTTTAGATTATTTGGGTTAATAATATGTATTGTTGAAATTAATTTTGCCTAGTTCTTTTTTTAAAAAGTGACTACTGGGAAATTCAAAATTCCATATGTGCTCATAGATTTGTAGACTGCATTATATTTCTAATGGACAGAGATGTTCTAGGGTATTAGGGGGCAAAGATCAAAGCAAGTATCTTACAATAGGCGGGTGATTTTGGTCATGTAGGACCTTCTTGGGGGAAATCAATGCAAGCCACTCATTCAAATCTCCTGGAACTGAAAACAGGCAGGAACTTTTGGGACCAGGTTTTTAGCTCCACCTCCATCGTCCTACACTTCCTCCAATCATATATAGTTTAGTGGGAGAGACACATTTCTCTTGATGGTGCAAAGAGATAGTCACATGGAAATAATAGGGAAAAAAAACCTGTTGGTTTCATTCATGACTTGGCTCTGAAAGACAGATTCTAGCTCAAAAATATTGACTTAGTAGTTAAGTCTAAAACATCAGGGTGCAAGCCTGTGACAGTGGCAGTAATTGATGAAAACAAATAATATATATTGGAAGTGCATCTGTAGGCACTACATGGGAGTGATCGCTGTACCTCCAAGAATGTGGAAATATGATTGCTTTGTGGGAGCTATTGAAAATTATGCAAACATCGCAAAATTAGGGTCTCAAATTAAAATGTCTGTAAATTCTCTATGTAAATGAGAGAAATGATCCTAACTTCAATACTGAGATTAAATTACCCATTTGTAGGAAAAAGTCAAAATTCTATTCTAGCTGCTTTTTGCTGTATGGAACCAGCATTATCAGATCTGATTTTTAAATGAGATACCCAGATTTTAAATAGTGACTAGTTCTTTAAAAAACACATTGAGATATGAATTAAATTAACATCTTAAAAATCAGTAAATTCTCTTTATTTCATTTCTATATTATATATGAAAAACCTTTTGGTGATACTTTTAATGAAAATCAAAATGAAAAACATAAGTACCACAACTTCAACCCCATTTTTAGAAGGTTCCAATTTCTTCTTTATCAATTTATATTACCTGACAACAACAAATGCTCCAAAAAGCTACCGAAATATACAAAGAACTCAAAAAATTAAACAGCTGAAGAACAAATAATCCAATTAATAAATGGGCAAATGAATTGAATATGGTTACCAGAAGAAGAAATACAGATGGCTAATAAATACATGAAACAGTGTTTGACATCCTTAGATGTAAAGGAAATGTTAAAGGAAATGTAAATCAAAACCATGCTAAGATTCCATCTCACTCCGGTCAGATTGACCATGATCATGAAAACAAACAACAAATGCTGGTGAGAATAAGGGGGAAAAGGAACCTTCATACATTGCTGGTGGGAATGTAAACTAGTACAATCATTATGGAAATCAGAACAGTTTCCTCAAAAATTTTAAAATAGACCTGCTTAAGACACCACCGTAACACTCTTGGGCATATATCTGAAGGAGAGATACGTACCTGCATATCCATATTTATTGCAGCTCTCTTCACAGTAGCCAAATTGTAGAATCAAGCTAAGTGCCCAATAACTGATTGATAGATTAAGAAAATATGGTATATAAACACATCATGGAATATTACTCAGTCAGAAAGGAAAATGAGATTATGTCATTTACAGGAAAATGGATGGAACTGAGTGAGATAAGCCATGTTCAGAAAGACAAATCTTACATTTGCTAACTCATTTAGCAAATTTATATTTGCTAAATCTTATATTTGCTAACTCATTTAACCTAGAGCTAATGATGATAATAATAATAATGGAACATGAATGTATATGAAGGACTGTTGGGGAGGAAATCACTGGAGGGGAGAGAGAGGAAGGAAAGAATACTAAGTCCTGAAGAGGATGGAATTACACTGCATATAAACATATGAAGATAGCATAATGAAATCCACTAAACACTTTGAAAGAGGGGGTCAAACAGAGGGGGGGAATGGGAGTATAATGGAGTAAACTTATTCAAGTTACACTGTACACATGTATGAAATTATCACAATGAAACCTTCTCATATGATTAATGTATAATGAATCAAAAAAAGAGGAAGAAAGAAGGAAATAAAGGAAAAGATTGCTTAACCAGCAAATACAGAACCCTGTTTAACTGAATGTAATTGTTCTGAACCCAGGAGAAGAATGAATCGCCTACTTAAGGTATAGCTACCACTTATGAAAATGCTGCTCCCTGAAAGCATCTTGCTCTACTAAGTTCACATTTACTATCACACACACACACCCACACTCCCGCCACACATGCATGTTTTAAGATAATCGTTTTCCGAGATATCAGAATCTGATTAGAAAACCTAAATGGAGGCTCTGGACAGATTAAAATATGACAGAAAAGTCAAGAGACTGGTTAAAGGAAGAACACAAATTTGTTCAATTGTGCCAAATTTGTTCAATTTGACCAAAAGTGGTCAAATACCTGTGAGTGAAAGTGGACGGAAAGGTCAGCCTCAGCTTAGCCAAGAGAAAGCGCTGTATGCAAATACTCACCAAGAAGCTCATTGGACAACTCAAAGTCAAACCTCTGTGTGAGAAGGTGTTTTCCCATAAAAACTAGCATATTGTTTGAATGAGTTTAACTGCTTTAGCATAGTCTAGTTGTAGGTTCCTGATCTCTCTGGGAAGTGCTTTACAGAAATAAACTAAGAGACATACTGAGAACACATTTTGATATTGAAGTCCAAGACCATGTTCATTCACTAATTGCAGTAGAAAGCACTGCATGAATATATGCAGGAAGCTCCTGTAAATTAAAATTAAATGTAATTCCGAGCTTGTCTGAACTATATACAGAAATGAATTGTTTCAGTGTCTATGGGTTTTTAAACCCATAAAAGAGGCCCTCTTTATTACCAGAGGATCTTGACATACTTTCTTCACTAGGAAACTAGAAAAAAATGAGGTCATCTGATATGAATTTGGAGATACCCACAAGTCAAAATTTCATGTTAGAGTATTTTTTTCAAATCACTAGAGATAGTAACCCTTGGCAACAAGAGATGACTTATGGGGAATGGAGAAGATAAAGTTCCCTGGGCTCTCTACCAACTTTCAAACCAAAGACATTTTGTTTTTGCCTTTACTCTGAGGTCTTATGAAACCAAGAGCCAACATATTCCCTTGGATTTTGGGAAAACTGACGTTGGGTGGATCATGTGGAATCAAACTCTTTCAAAACGATGGAAGTTTTAGGTGTGTATTCACAGACTTAGGATTCAATGTCTCTTTTCCATTACTCACTACACACTGGATGATTATTCTTAATGCTTTATGTGTATTAAACTATTTAATCACTGCAACTTTCATCTGATACCAGTAATCTCATTTTTACAGGTGAGGAAACTGAGGCTTACAGAAGTTACATACCTTGCTGCTAGTCAAGAAGGGAGTAAGTACTGGTATTGGGAATACAAATCAGACAACTTCATTGCAAAATCTAGTTTGAACTCACTAAATTGCCTCACAGTAGGCAAATAAATTTTTTTGAAATGACTGTTACAGGAAGAACAGGATTTAAAGTCTTCTATGAAACTGGGGAGATGTAGCATCTCTAAGATCTATTGAAGCATTTAGCTGCAGTATTGGGACCTATCAGATGAACAGTGAGAATTGATTTGCTTGAGTCTTTTGGCAAAGGACAAGGTTCTTCATGAAGTTTTGAAGAACTTCATGAAGTTTTGAGAATTCAATAAATTTTAACATTTGATAATTAGGCTAGACACTCCTTCCTTTGCAAATATTTAAAAGAGCACATTAAAGAGAGACTGAAGATTTATTCCTAAGCACCACTTTTCTCACCATATTTCAAATTCCAGATTGGTGTGGTTGACGTCTGGGTCATCAAAAGCACAGGTCAATGAGTCCTGGGATCCATCCACTTCCAATTGACTATAGCACCAGAATGAGTAGTCATCCGCCTCTGCATCTTCCAAATCCCCTGAAGAGGAACAGGCATGCAGCTATTAGTTAGACAAATAAAGGCATTCCTTTAAAATATGGTGTGGCTTTAGTAAAATGTCAGCTGTTTGTGGCAGACATGAAGGAGGGATTATATTTTATCTAAAGAAAGAAACTCCAAGGGCAAAGATAAGAAAAAGGTTACAAAAACAAAACCCAATATGCAGAATTTTCTAATAGAAAAAAAGTCCATTATAGTTAATAAATAACTTCCAGATATTTTTGCCATTGTGTTAGTGCATCAGAGAATTAGAAAGAGGCACTGAACAGACTCTTTCCTTACTTAACCTAGAATTTCTTCTGCTATCTTTGTTACATTTTAATGTCTGTACAATTTAAATGCAAGATACTCTGCTTCCATAATTCTAAACTACCTAATTCAAGTTTTGACTTTATGACTGGTCTTCATTCATTTTCTCTTAAGTATTTTTTTCCAAATGAAAGATGATAGGTATTATAGTAAAAACCACTTTTTAAGTGGTTACTTCCCTTTGTTTAATAAGGAAATCCTGACTAAAAACAGTATTGATATCTCCATTGTATGACAATATCAGGTAACTTGTCTTAAGCTAATGATCGAGGCAAATATGATTAGAAAAATTTATTCTCCTTGAATGTCTATCTCTGTTCCTAAAAGATTCTTCTGTAGATACTGTTTCCTACTTGTAATAGCAATATTCTGGAAGAAAGTGAAGAACCAGATTTAATTTTTTGCAACCACTTTTGGAAATTCTGATTTGTCACAAATAGTGTCTGATTTCTTAAGGTGGGCTGCACCTAAATAGAACATTTATAGAATATATAATAGAAAAGTGAGGGTGGTAAAACCTGCTGGCAAATATACTCCAAATAGGACCTCAAAAAATCTAGAGTAATCAAAGTCATTCTCAGAGTTCAGAGTAAAGGAGTATGAACTTAGGCCTGTTTTCAAAGTGTTTTAGCCCATCAGTACGAGAAATTTGATGCTTGTAAGGCTTTAAGATAGATATTGAATGTACTAAAATTGAATTCCAGGTGAGTGTTCCAGAACTCATGGAACAGAACTCATGGGCAGTTTATATTGTGTGTTCTTGAACCCAAGAGTCTGAGGGAAAGTTAATAAAGTTGGTTGTGAAGGACCAACCAATTGAATGACTAGTCAAAGCAAAAATTCTCCAATAACCCAGCTAGACAAGAGCTGTGAGTACTGCTCACGACCACACGTATTTGTCTTTTTGACCATTCACTGAATCCATCCAGCTCACAATTCCTTCACCAGCAATGTTCTTTGTGTCATTTCAGCAAGGTATAGCATGCCTCCTGATGACCGTAAGTAAGGTGGGGAAGCCTTTAGGGCTTATACTTCAAAACATGTTTAATTTTAATTTTATAGACTTAGATCTCTTCCCCTAAGAGCTGTCAGCTTTCAAAATGAAATAATTTTGTTTGGTTTAGACTGCCTTTACATGGCAGTTCTCCATTGTCTTGATTTTTCTCTTCCGTGGAGCTTCCACCAATCCTATACAGCAGATAACATTACTATTTGGATTCAGACAGCCAATGGGTCAGCTATAGCTCCATAATTTTTCGATACACAATGTAAGCTGGAGAGAGCATACTGTAGCACATGCCAGGTACTAGCAGAAGAAAGGACTCCACTGACCTTAGCCATCTAGTCTGGGAAAGTATGTCTGTTGTATAATCTCACAGAACATGCAAATAACTAATCATACAATTTTCCTTATACTTAAAGTGGCTGTGTTTTAAGAAGTCATTCATTGATTCCTTAGCAGATTATACTGGGAAGACTTGCTCTGTAACCAAGAAAAATTCCCTTTAATGACTTGTAAAATTGCATGTCTTTGATAAAGAGGATGTTCTATTTGATGTGAGTTGAAAAATTCTTAGCTAAGAGTCTTAACAGTGGTTAAGAGTTCAGTGCCATTGCTGGACAGATGTAGGTTTACAGCCTAGCTATTCTATAGGGATAGCTGTGGTCCTCTATCAGGTTACTCACTCTCTGTAAGAGTTAGTATTCTGATACAGAAACTCATATTATAGGAATCCTTGAATAGATCTACACAAGGACTTAGCTTAGAGCTCCATAAGCACTCAATAAATGTTAGCTCTGTTATATTTTTAAAAATAAATAATGAAAAGTTAAAATAAGAATTCTAATTATGAAAATACATATGAAAAATTTGTTCTTTTGAATAAGAGTTCTATATTGATTGAAAGTGTTATTATTACTATGGTTTTACATAGAGCTCTTATAAGCAGTGAGTTGATCTATTATTCAATAAGTGCTCAAAATATTGGTAATATTTAAGTATATAAGCATATAAATTAAAATTCTCTAAGTGTAGAAAATTAAGTTTTTTAGAATGTATTAATAAGCAAGGCAGTGTGGTTTTGAAGACTTCTTCCAATGATTAACAGTCTAAATGTTTGGGACTTTTAAAAAGTATCCTTTCTTGTCTTGAACATAATTGTAGTTATCAGTGAGCTAACTTACCACTCAACCCAAAGCAGCTAGTTATTTGTGAATTCCTTACACGCTTAACTGAGAAATATTTTCATATGATGGTGTATACCAATGGTTACAGATCTTGTAAAATCCTGAAATTTTAAAAGTTGAAGTGAAAACCCAGTTTTCAATCAGAATTCTTATTTCTTTTAAAAAGAAATAGTGAAACTATATTACATCAAAGCACAATAAAGTTTTCATGCTTCCTACCACACGTCTTGCCTTGTGCAAACCCAAGGAAACATTTTGCATAGAATAATGATCATCCTTCACAAAGTGATTAATACATGGTCACACTGAAAAATGTCACCCCTCTGACAATTCCTTTAATGAGAAAATGCCAGGGTTTTCCATCGTTGATAATTACTAAGTAAATTGACTCAAAATATCTAAGCTGAGGAAACATGAAAGGAAACATGACTCAAAAAATCTAAGCTGAGTCACTAGGTTGATGTATTGATATCGTCTATAAGGAAAAATATTTTTTGAGGCAGGGTCTCACTATGTAGTTCAGGCTGGTCTCAAACTTATTATATCTGACTAGCCTTGAACTCATGATCTGCCTGCCTTAGCCTCCATAGTGCTGGTCTTGAAGACATGTGCCATCATGTCAGCTCAGCAATATACTTCTTAACTCTTAAAATGAAAGGGCAGTTCCCAATCACTTTTAATTACAATCTTGTTATAATTATAATATGCTTCTTAAGAACTTAGGATCTGCCTCTAGGAACTAAGCACTTTAAACATTTCAAAGAGAATTATTGCATACAATGACTATGGAGGTAATTACACGTATTTAAATGAAACAACTCATTCAGATCTCTAGTGAGCTATTAACTAATAATCTAACATGAATCTGTTAAAGCTAAAGTATTTTGAAGAAATATTCACATACTTGTTGAATGACTACTATGTTCTAGATATTAACTTCAGTTCTAGGGATATAACACCAGTCAATTCAGACAAAGCTATTATTTCTGGATATTATCTTATCATGCAAAATTATGTTTTTGGAACCTCTTAAGCCAAACAAAACAAATCTTGCTTGATTTCCTGACAAAGTAAAATTATCTTGGAGTTTTTTTAACAAGGGTAATTCATGTGCTTATGTGAGTGTTCTCTTGTAAGATCAGAGACATCAATCAACCTCTACAATTTGCATTTTTAGAGTCAAATGCATTCTTTGTTGATAATTCTGATGCATTATAAGCCACCTATGGTATTGTTCCCAATTTCCTTGTTTTGGTAGTTAGAACATGATAATACATGTTAAGTTCTTGAGCTCTTTACCAACCCAGTGCCCAGCTCAGGTTTGTTAGGGAACTGAGTAACCTGAAAAATATGCTAGAAATAATCCATAATCCTTTTTAAAAAAGTTAGAAATGACTCACCATTCTGTGCATAGCCACTTTCTCCAGAAACGGCTTGAAGTAAATAGAAAACCATACCAAAACCTGTACCTAGAATTGTCATTCTGAGAGAGAGAGAGAGAAAGAGAGAGAGAAGAGAGAAGTGTGAGCCTTTGTGTACAAATGAATGAGAGAGAGAGAAAGAGAGGGAGACTAGGTCTGCAGCTCTCTACTTACTCAACCACAGACGGGGGAAGTATAAATACAGCATAAAAGAAGGCAAGTGCCAGAAACAGGAAGTCTGAGTAAAAGGATTGCTGCTGTAAGCAGAGGTTGAAGCAATGAAGAGATACAGCATTTTGAATCATTGTGCCTCTCAGATAGTCCTTGCAGCCCCCAAACTTACCGTGCTTACTTCCAAGTAAATTTCTTATGTGGGTTAAAGCAATCTTAAGCTAGGACCTAATTTTTAAGAATCACAAGACAAAAAAGTAAACTCGCAAAATTAATCAATCAGTCACTGGGATGATTTTTGCTTTAAAGAGAGATTGTGTACTTTTAAAAAAGTAATTGTTGGTTTATTTTAAATATCTAAGTTTCATAAGAACAGCAGTTGTTTCTGTTTTCTTCTCTGTGTATCCCTAGTACTTATTTGTACAGCTCTTTCTCCTAATAGGCATTCAAGAGTTATTTGTTAATTCAGGTATTGGCACATGATGGCCTAGGGATCAAATTTGCCCACCATCTGTTTTTGTAAATTGCTCATCATGGACCATCATTCCACCCATTCATTTGTGTGTTATCTACAGCTGCTTTTGTGCTACAATGGCAGACCTGAGCAGACAAGACAAAGGTTATAGGATGCATAAATCATAAAATCTTTACCATCTGACTCCTTGTAGAAAAATGCTGCTGATCTCTTGTTTTAAATACAAAATAGTTTATTAGGGTATTTAAAACAGAATTCTATTTGTGAAAATCAAATTGCCACCCAACTTCTCAGAATAAAGAATATATACAACCCATAAGGGGACCTACATATTCAGGGAAGAACTCTAAGACAATGCCATAGATAATCTGAACTATTCTTAAACTTGTATGTTAATTAAAATTTTCTCAATATGGCCTCATGGTTAACTGGCTGCATTTGTTGGATGTGGTTGACTTCTTGGTAACTGATGGATTGCTTTCTTTAAGACATATCAAGATTACTATTGACCTACTATTGGGTTGCTAGTAGTCATATCACCAATGAGCAGACAATGCCTCCTATAAGACATCTGCTTAGGTCTTCAAAGGAATCACCTAACTTGGATGAAGGGCATAAAACAGCACGCTTTCCATTCACCATGCCTTTGTTGGCAAGAAGCCATAAGACTGCAATTATAAGGTGATACGTTCAGAGAAACTGAGTGGACAGTGAAATATGAGATTGTTTGATTCCCTGTTTTTGGTTAGAATTGGTCCTTTGGTCCTGTGAAAATGGCTAAATTAACAGAGAATTGCTCTGTAACCAAGAAATAATTCTCTTCAATGACTTGTAAAATTGCATGGCATTGATAAAGAGAATGTTCTGTTTGATGTGAGTTGAAAAATTCTTAGCTAAGAATCTTAACAGTGGATAAGATTTCAGTGACATAATAGTTATTATGATGATCTGATAAAATGAGAATTTAAAAAGTGGAGTATTTGTACCAGTCTCTGGAAACTCCTCAGTTTTGAGGGAGCCTCAGGGACAGATAGGATTTGCACCAGTTATAATGCCAGTTTCTTGACCAAATGCCCAAGATTTAGAGCAAAAATCCAACTGAAAGACATTCTATCTCCTCCATCTGTCTGAGCCTTTTTTTGGCAGTTTAATCACCTCCTGCCCTGAAAAAAACAAATAAACAGTAAGGATTTTGTGCATCAGATAATAATTTGTGTACTCATTTCTAATCTGGTTTGAAAGCTTAGAAAATTCTAAGCTTTATTCACAAAAATCAGTATGCTTTGAGCTTTGAGCTGAATTCCCTCTCTAGAAAGCTGTAATTATAATATCCCATGAACTAAGCAAATGTTTAAGGAGGAATCACAAATTATGTTCATTCACCAACTCAGGTATCATGGATCGACACTCCATGTGTGAATAATTGGGTAGTGTCTCTTTAAATTCTTTTGTTTATCATTTAACTGGACTATCATTTTGATTCTATCTCTTTCCTTTAGTTGTGAAGATGTAAAAGAACAAAGTCAAGACACAATATTTTGGTACAGCATGTGCTAGTTTGCTCAGGGGATTTCCACCTGTGTGCTTACCCTTTTGGGCGGGGCAGGAGATACCAAAAGGACCTCAGAGAGAAACCTAAATAAAAGTGTGGGGAGCTCAAAGAAAAATGAGAAGCATCACTAGTCCTTCTAGAGATTGTGGGTAAACAATTTGTACCGTTTCTATTTCTTTACCCAGGTCCTGTTAGTCCTTTGTAACTGACAAAACTGAGGAAGAAAACAGCCTTGCTTCACCTATCCCACAGAGGAGAGACATTTACAGTATTGCTTTGTCACTATTGTTTGTAAGACCAATAAAGACAGAGAGAAGGGAAAGGATGAGGAAGACTCTGCGGGGTACCTGAGTCTCCCACTGCAAAATCAGTGCTCAAGCATTGGACTATGGGTTAAGCAGGTCGGTGGGCTTGACAGTTTATCTGATTTCTCTTTAGTTCCATGAGGTCCCAGGATGAGGTGAATCATTGAAAAGGAAATCCATCTTACTGTTTCTCATATGCAAGCAAAACATATCGATGTCACATGGCTCTCAATATCAGCTGGTCATGTTTCTCCTGTCTTCTTTACTTTTGAGATTGTTCAGACCATCTATGAAGCAAAGTATATAAAAATACTTTTTTTTATTTTCATATTACAAAAACTTACATGGTGTTTGTATATAACTGGAAGAGGCCTGAAGAGTTTACACAGCCGAACTTTCAATGAAATTTCAGATCATGGAATGGTACAGTTGAATTCTTTTCTTGATTGTTTCTTATTGGTTAACTCAAGGTCCAACCAGGAGGACCAATGTCCTTCATCTTTTTCCCAGTCAGGAAGGGCAAAAGTTTTCCTGGGCAAATTCAAGATCAGCATCTTAACTTCTTATTAATATTTACTATTTGGACTCATCTCTTAGAAACAGACATTTCCCTTCTATTCTTTACAGAAATTATAAATTAAATGAGATAAATATCAGTGCATTTCTCTTTCAGCACCTTTGGGAAATAAGCTGTCCCTAGAGAAAAAGTAGTTCTCTGAGTCAGCTGTTAGGTGAAGTCTATAAAAATAGCCCTTATGTATTTAGCAATTTGTCCAAAGTGAGAGTATTTTAAAAATTCACTCACCTTGTTTGTCTATTAAGTACAATAAAGTGAAACAACAAAAACCACAATAATAGGCAGTATGTGTTGCAACAGGAATATCAGGATATTGGACAAATACTCAAAAAGTTCCAAGTCACATTCTATGAAATCTGTTATTGACTATCTCTTCCTACTGACAGCTTATCTTCCTTAATTAACAGGATTTATCCTTAAAGTGAGAAACAATCTTTAGCACCTGCCTCCCCCTGGGGGGAAAAATGGGCCTGTTAAATGAAATGAATGGAGATCCCAAGAGCTATGGAAAAAAAGAAGTGAAAACACCCAAGGGTATCAAGTAGGTGAAGATGGCTGAAGGGAAACCCAGTGTTGCTCTAGTCTAGACAAACCGTCTTCAAAATTTCACCAGCATGTGCTGAGTCAGTCGCTTGGGCTCTGAGGGGGAATCCCAGCATCTTAAAGTTTCATTTCCAGGAGCACAACATTTTCCTTGTTGTGGCTCTTCTTTCATTTCCCTTTCCTCCTTACAACGTATCTTCAGCCCCATATCTTGCTGTTGTTTCTGTCTTATCTGGGCACAGTTTGAAATATAACAGTTGTTTTGCCTTTATAATACTTTACCCTATATTTCTGAATGCAACAAAAATGAAATCTTTGAGTATCAACTTTTTTGCTCTTTGGTGAATACATTTATATCAGAAAGTGAGTATTTTTACTTAAGGATATGCCCAAATTTTGATAAAAACATGAGTAAAAGAGAGGGCTAATTCTTGGGAAAAGGCTGAATCCAAATGCTTCTCTGGCAGGTATGGTGTCCCTCCAGTTCACCTTCTCCCTTGCAGACTCTGGATGATGTTAGGCACAGTGTCCCACAGTGGTTTGGGAAAAGGTCTGGACTAAGTGACCAGAGCCTGAGCCTAAGCCCCTCCGCAGAGCATCTTGCTTGCCCTTCTGCCAAATACCTTCTGCAGCTGATTGCCACACTCTGCCAGTCATATCCCAACCAAAATCCCTGGCAGAAGTGGAAAGAACCCTCACTTCTATTTCAAATCTCCCTGCCCTCTTGGAACCCAGTGCTTCTGTGCTAACAGGATCCCCAAGAACAACTCTGGTACCCTATAATTTCCCAAGCTAACTATGTAAAGTCAACACCTGAGGAGATGTTTTTAGGATCCATGGATCCCTAAAGTAGAAAAAGCAAGGGATCTGTCTCTTGTTATAATACTTAAGCCTGGACTGTATTTTTAAGATACAATTGTCACTTCCAGAATCTTTCTAAGAAAATGGTAAACTGTTGCTGACTTTTGATTTCCCACATTTAAATCTTTATGCTTTTATTATTGACCTCAGGAAACTTTGGAATTCAATATAAGATTTGTTGTTGTTGCTGGGCTATGCTGCTAAATTGAGGAGATCCAGCCGTACATTGGCTTTAACAAAGATGCAAATTTATTGCTTGTTCATAGTAGACGATCCATGGAAAGTAGGCAGTGCTATGAACTCCTTCAATCAGGAATCCAGTCCCTTTCCTTTTGTAGGCAGTTGCCTTTGTCTATGTATTTGAGGGTATTTCACCAGCACCATAATCCCATTGCAATCAGTGAAAAGTAGATGAAAGAAGAAAGTGAAAAAAAAATCTTAAAAGGACCTGATCTGGAAGTTACTACTTGCTCATAACTTATTGACCAAAAAGTAGTCATCATGGCCACTTTAACTTCAAGGGAGGAAGGCAAATACAGTCTGAAGAGGAGCTGCTATGTGCTCAACTAAAACTGGAGTTCTATTATGAAAGGAAGAAGGGATGAACAGATGTTGGAAGAACCGCAACCTCTGCAAGAGTTACACACTTGGTAGCTA